TAGTAAGTAGATAGTAGATAGTAGATAGTAGACAGTAGACAGTAGACAGTAGCTAGTAGAGATTAGGTGGTGGTAGTAGGAGCAGTAGGAGTAGTAGCAGTAGTAGGAGTAGGAGGAGGAAGAGTATGCGGAGGAGGAGGAGGAGGAGTAGGAGTGGGAGCAGGAGTGCGAGTGTGAGTGGGGGTCGGAGTAGGAGTAGGGGTGGGAGTGGGAGTCGGAGTAGGAAGTCGTCGTTAAGAGTGAATTAGTGTCGCAGCAGTCGCCGTCGCCGTTTCCAGTAGTGGTACAGCTGGCAAAAATCAGCGGTCTGCTAGGCAAAGTTTGGTCCCAGAACGCCAGTTTCCCACCGCACTACAAAACAACTCTAAACCCCCTATCTGCAACTTGCTGCCAGCGTGTCCCGGAGCCGTCCTAGGTTGATTAAGATTAGGGCTAAGGATGGTGCCGTCTGCTGGGCAACCACCTGGCCCACTTGTGTGGCACAGTGCCTTCACTGGAGACCCGACAGAAGAAGATCATCAGGGGGCCCTGAACCCGAAACCTTAAACCCTTCACTTTAATCCCGTGAACACCTAAACCTGAGTGCCGAAATGCAGACAATCAACTCGGAACGGCTCTAAACCCGAACACGTAGACTCTTCAAACCCCCTACGCATGGTAGACAAATTCAAATTTCTTCGTCAATCTTGCAAACCCCAAACAGCAAGCTGGAAGATCCCTTACATTCGAGAGCCCGAAACTATCAAACCCCAAACCAACAGTCGTTCATGCCCTTAACCCCTGACCCCTGCCCCCGCAACTTCAACGCTCGCAACGAACTGTAATGCAGCAACCCAGGTCCTGGACTCCCCACCGTAAACATCGAAGCGAAACCGCTACAACCCTTTATCCCGTAATCTACAACCCCGAAGCACTAGAGCCCTAAACTCAATGGGGTGGGCACACGCATGGTGGTTATCAATTGTACGGTGTCAAGTTGTGGTCTTTTTGGGGTTCAGGGTCACCAGGGTTTCGGATATAGGGTAGGGTCTTTGGGTCAATTGCGGCTCTTGAGCCTCTCGTTTCGGGGATGGGGCGGAGGGGGCTGTCGAAAGGATTGCGGAGTTTAGGGAGTGTGGTCGAGTCTAGTTCATATCCCGCTTGCCGCAGAAGTTTCTATCCTAAGCTTGCAACTTTCAGGTGGGAGCCGGTCGAGTGCACACAATGCTGGCTCACGAATTACACAGCCAACTGCCTCGGTGCCTTGACCGGAAGAGCCGAGTTTGAGGATGTTCACAAGAGCTTGGTTTCGTGATGGCCCTGTAAAAGGCCCGGAAGCCTAGCATCCCGAAGTGCGAAGCATCAAAACCCTTACCTTAACCAAAGGCTTTGACAAAGGAAGATAATGTTGCGAACAGCGGGCAGACTCTAAAACCCCAAGACATCCTAAAACCGTAAAGCCCACACCAGCTTTGAGGCAAGTACAGCAAATGCATCGAGCCGGGCACAGAAGATGGGGAGCCAAGCTTGCCAGGGGCCTATGACAGGGGTGCTCTCGTAGGGAGCATTATGCCAAAAAAGGGTAGAAGGGTCCTCTTGACACCCTTAAGCAGGAGCCCCACATGCTAAGAAAGGGGTTTCGGAGCTCGTGCAAACCATAAACCCTTACCCCTAAACCTCTGGCTTAAACCCTGTGGATGCTTGAGACCTGGGCCCAGGGAATGGAACTCACGCACTGTCCACTTCTTTCTGGGAGTTAGGGGCTGGGCTCATGTTTCAGAGAATAGGGGGGCCCTCGCATAGACCTTACCTTGCAGGATTGCCATTGCAAGCTAGCTGTCAGAACGAGCACACTGCAACGGGGATGCAAGCAAACACGTAAACAGACCGAGTAGGGTTCTGGAATCACCGAGCTGATAGCCCACGGCGCCCCTGGGTTTCGGGGTTTGGGCTGGTATGCTGCCCTGAGGTCTCCAGTGGCGTCGACTGAAACGAGCACAGCGCCTGCTGAAGTTGTGGTTTGAAGGTAGGACCAAGGCTGGAGGCAGAAACTCTACGCCCGGAGTTAACAGAGTTTTTTCAACATTTTCAAACTAAAATCCAAGTTGGAAAGAACAGTTCTCAGAGTTTTGAGTTCCAGGTCATCATAGTCTTCTGAGCCTCAAACCTGTTGCGTCTGAACCCAACCCTTAAGCCTTGAATGCTGAACAGCCGGTTCATCTAAAGCTTAGAACCCAAGGCAACCTGACTCAAGCTTGAATCCTGAACAAGTGGCCCGAGGTTGCTAAGGACCATGGGTTTAGGCGACTGGGGAAAGCATTTGAAGTAGTCGAATTGAATTGAAGTGGCTTTGAAACACAGCTTGAGGGGTTGAGGGCTGAGGATCCTTATGTAGAAGTGACGACCGGAGCCTGCTCACTGCAGCTCCCAACGCCCGTGGATCCATGTTGGAGATTGGTTGAGGGTGTAGCGGGATTCAAGACTGCCCAAGCCGGAAAGCCACTTGGGACGGTGAAAAGCCTGAAACTTGTGCAGCCTGTGATGGACGGTGTCCAGGGCATGTTTACAGAAAGCCGAGCCGGGCCCAAAGCAAACAGAGGCTTGCGGCCCAGTCCGTGTCCGAAGACCAGAGTCTGGGTTAAACGGCCTGAGAGTTGAGCTCTCCCGAGCCTCCTGAACCCTCAAGCTCGTTCGGACGTAGGTGGGCCACAGTTCTATGCTACGCTGTCTGCCGGAAGAGCCATGATCACCAAGCACATGTACCCTAACCCGGAGTCTGGGATCTGCGGACCCTGGCGATCCCGTCGCGAGCGCTTGGCTCGCCATGACAAAGCAGGGCCGGTCCTTTCCTGGAGCTTGCGAGGGATTCAGGTCCAAGTCTTCCGCGTTTGGGCTGGCTTGCGGCGCGGCTCGGATTCTTTGGGCTCAGGGCTGGCGGGGAAGAGTCAGGCTGAAGAGCCCGAGATGCGACTCGAGGTAGGGGGTGTAGCCCTGCATCCTTTCTTTGTTTTTTGTTGGTCGCCTTTTGGAGCTCCTACGTCTTTCGCAAGCCCATGTCCTTGGCTTTCGAGGCTTTGCAGTGACAGTGACTTCGCGGGTTGTTTGTAGGTTCTGTGTTCGCTTGCAGCCGCGTATCATACGTGAAGCTCTCAGCTATCAAGCTTGACCAAATCTGGCTGGAATTCAAGTGGCAACCGCTTGTTGAACAGCTAGTACTACGACTAATGGATGTAGTCCAACATTGCCGTAAGTCCTTTCAACTGTCGGAAGTAACAGCCCTTGTACTTGCAGCTGCAACGTCGAGCGAATGCATCCCTCTTCGTCTTCATGTTGATTTCGTGTGACTTGTGGTAGTCACGATAAAGGCCCTACATGCTGTTCATAGGTTTGATGCAAGAGTCGTTGATTCCAAGAGTGCCGCTGCAAGTGAATGCCCTTTCCAGCGGTGCATCGGGCACCTTCTGCAAGCTGCAGGCACTGGGGTTTTGATGACATGCCTGACAAGTGGAAGCTTCCGTTATCCGTGGCACGAGCTTTGCAGGTCGCAACCTTTCAGCTCGGTGTGTGCCAAGCTGCAGCCGCCCCAGCCGAGTCGAGTCTTATGGGGCTTTGATCTGTTTCCATGCGATCAGTGCCGGAGGCAAGCCTTTTCAAAAAAGAGAGGGTGCAGTAGCAGCAGTAGCAGCGGCCCACATTTCCCACGATGCCTCGTAGCGTTGCCATCATCGGCACTGGATCCGCCGGCATGGTCGCGGCCCTGTCCATGAAGCGCGAGTTCGGTGACGATGTCGACGTCCATGTCTACGACCAGTTCAAGAGCTTCAAAATGTCGCAAGGGGTCGAGCTCGCCCTTAGTCCTCCTTTCCAGATTGTGATGAAGGCTCTTGACCACGATGTGGAGGCGGTGATGAGAGAGCGCGCCTGCGAAACCCACACAACCGTGGTTCGCGACTCTGCCGGAGAACGCATCCCTTTCGTTGAGGAGATGATGAACAGTGTCGACGAGGGGGGGGTCGGGAAGACGCCTGAGGGCGATCTCGTCAGATGCCCTACGTTGCAGATCAGCCGCGGCGTGTACATGTCCATTCTTCAGGATGAGTTCTTCAAGGCCATGGGAGGGAAGGATGCTGCCACTAAGCACCTGCACTGGGATCACAAGCTGGAAGCAGTTGTGCCAGAGGGCGAGGGTGGCAAGAAAACACTCCGCTTCGCCAACGGCGAGCAAGTGACGGGTGTTGACTTGGTCGTCGGCGCAGATGGGGTGCATTCTGCAGTCCGCAGGGCTTGCTTTGATGACGTGCCGGCACGCCATGTTGGGGCCAACATCATATACGGTGTCATTCCCGGCACCCCTGATATCCACCACAAAGACGCCTTTAACATCGTGGCGGCAGCCACCTTTTCCATGGTGAGTTCCGAGATCGTCGACAGTGAGGGCAAGAGGATGACATGGTGGGCCATTGTCCACACGGACCGCGAGAAGCACGACTCCCCGACGAGCTCCATAAAGGCCTACCGCACTTTCTGGGAGTCCAAGGCAGACGTCAAACAGCTTGCCCATGACCTCGTGGCCGAGGAGGAGGGCGACACGTTGCCGAAGAAGTTCGTTGCCATGACCGCAGAGGAGGGCTTTCTCTATGCCGGCTTCTTCCTGGATCGTGACCCAACTACTTTGAAGCAGTGGGGCAACGGCGAGATGGGCGCCGTGTGCATCGGCGACGCCGTCCATGCAATCCAGCCTTGGGCCGGTATGGGTGCCTCTTTGGCGGCCGAGGATGCCTTTCTCCTGGGGAAGATGATCGCCAAGCATGGCTGGAACAAGCTCCAAGACGCCTTCGATGAGCTCCAGGCTCTGCAGCTCCCCCGCGTCCAGTTCTACAGGCAGATCACCTTGAATAATGCGCCGCAGGGCATCATCTCTGAGGACCTGATGGTCCCCATCGAGACGGTTGTCGAGCAGTTCGGCGACCAGCGCAGTCTTGAGAAGTGCCCTGCATGGAATCAGTTTTGTGCGCACTTCCGCGTGAAGTCGGCCTAGAGTCTTCGAGTCTTAGAGATCTTAGAGGGCGTGCTAGATGCCGCCACGTGGGTACATCCCTATACTTCCGAGAACGTTATGATCTTTATTTTTCAAGGTCGGGGACGCGAATGCGTTTTAGCCTGATTTGCACCATGTCCGCGTTGGAAGCAGGACTTGCCTGCCCCACTCACGCAGAGACAGTGCAGGGGTCGTGCGTTACATATGCGATCTGGGGACAAACATGCCAGACCTTTGCGGCAAGAGAATCGTTTGTTTCGGCCACGATCGTCCTGTGCTGGGCTTGCGTAAGGTCATTCCTCCCACAGGACCCGGTGACGGTGCGGAAATGCAAGTCTGGAGCGGACCCCCCGAGCCGAGGCGCAGTTGAGCTTTTTTGGTTTGGCCGTTCTTTTCGCTTTCTCGTGCGGTGCCGACGGTGGCGCATGGCAGGTATCTGCCGCCTGCCGCCTCCAGGCCGCAGGCATCCGGAGGCCGCGGCCGAAGGCGATGTCTAACCGCAGTGGCAGAAAACCATTGAAATGGCAGTCAGGCATTTCACAGCGCACCTTCCTGGCCCATCTGGCCCGTAAAGTCGTAAAGCCGTGAACTCTCAATGTCCAGCCGCATGTCTGCGAAGGTCCCAAACCCTGCACTCTGAGACCTGAACAAGAACATGCCAAGTGGTCTGAAGCCCAAGAACCCTAGGCCCAAGTTTTTCCAGACCACAAGCCCCAAGCCCTAGATGAAACCGGTGCTAGGCTCTCACTGTTTTTTCTTCGTGCTGGGCTTCGGGTTTTAATTTTCTGCTTGGACAGTTCCCCGCGATTTGAAGTCGGCATCAATAACTTCAACAGAGCTTCCGGGTTTATCGTAAAGGAGGTCAGGGCCAATACGGGGATACTGTTTCCAACCACTCAGAATGCAGAGCTTTACATCAGGGCTTTGGGGCCTTGGGGTTGGTTGGTTTCGGATTCAGGGCCATTTAGGGTTTAGGCTGTTGCAAGGCCACTTTGAGTCAGAGCTCGGGGTTCTAGGCTTGAGGTGTTAGGCCGAAGTCTTCCAATCATTCTGACCCTTCCTGTTGGTTCCAGTGTTGCTAGGGTTCTCCACGGCCAAACACATTGACATGAACCCTACCCCCTGAACCGTAAACCTGAAAGCTTGGGTGTCCTCCTGGACGGAAGCTTTCGAATGGGTTGGGCTTGGCCATAGGGTTGCAGGGTCTGGTTACCGGGACACTAGTTTTGACTGTTTGTAGAGTTGAGGGTTTAATGCCCTAAACCCGAAACCACATACACCCAAACTTGTAGCCCTCAGCCTTACAGCCGAAACCCCTAAACCCCTAAGTCTTTTAGCCCGAAGCCCTGATCTAAACCGCAAAGCACTTTGTGACTTGTTCGGGAAGAACCGGACCCGGGTCGCTGCCACACCGCCGATCTGTCCTGGGCTCGTCCCCTGCAGGGAGTGAGGCTTCCTACATGCATGTGTGTATGTGTGTGTATATATATATATATATTATATAGCTGTGCATGTATACGCATGGTTAGTGCAGTACGCTATAGTAGTTCTAGGAGTTGCAAGCGTCCAAGCGATGTCGCAGCTTGCTCCAGACGTTCACCACCAGCCCAGCCCGAACCTCACCGCCAAAGTCATTCCGAAAGCTGCACCGAACCCTGAAATCACATCCGTCACATTCCCAACGCGTTCACACAATCCTGGTCCAAAGCCGCTAGCCCAAGCCCTAGCTACAAACCCTAAACCTTAAGCCCGTAAGTCCGAGCCTTTTTGTGCCGGGAAGCCTCTGTCCGCCCCCTGCTTCGCCTTTGGCGGGTCCCCAGCTCAGGATTTCGGTTGAGTGCCTGGGATTTACGGTTTACGGTATTACTTTTACTACTACTACTACTANNCTACCACCACTACTGCTACTACTGCTACTACTACCACCACCACTACTGCTACTACTGCTACTACTGCTACTACTGCTACTACTGCTACTACTACTAA